GAACTCTTCTAATATGGCCTCACCTTCAGGTGCTTGACGGCTTCTTCTACTAGTATGTACAGGCCTCTGTCACATGGCTCATTGTGATTTTACTGTTAGTATTGTTTTGTCTTTTGCTATCTTGACTGCTAGACTATGAGGTTTTTGTTGTTGTTTATTTTATTTTATTTTTTGGTTTTAGAGACAGGTTATCTCTGTAGCTTGGAGTCTGTGTTTTTACTTGCATATTCTTCTTTTGCTTTTTGTTTTTCGAGACAGGGTTTCTCTGTGAAACAGCTCTGGTTGTCTTGGAACTAGCTCTGTATACCAGGCTGTCCCCGAACTCAAGAGATCTGCCCATCTCTGCCTCCTGAGTGCTGGAATTAAAGACAGGTGCCCTGGCTCTAGACTGAGCTTTTGAGACATTGTTTCATGTAGCCAAGGCTGGCCCTGAACTCAGTATGTAGCTGAGACTGGCTTTGAAACCCTGTATCTTCTTGTCAGGTGTTGGGAATACAGGTATTCCTGCATGGGCTTGGCGACTTATTTACACACACACACACACACACACACACACACACACACACACACAGCCTTCTTCTTCTTCTTCTTCTTCTTCTTCTTCTTCTTCTTCTTCTTCTTCTTCTTCTTCTTCTTCTTCTTCTTCTTCTTCTTCTTCTTCTTCTTGAGACAGGGTTTCTCTGTATAGCCCTAGCTGCCTTGTAACTCACTCAGGCTGGGCTTGAACTGAGAGATCTGCTTGCCTTAGTCTCCAGAGTAAGTTGTGTGCTACCACTGCCCAACTAAAAATATTTCCATATCACATTTGTTTCTGTGTGTGTCAGTCAGAGGAGAACTTGTGGAGTTGGTTCCCTCAGTTAGGTAGAACTCAGCCTGCCTCTGCCTTCCTAGTGCTGGGATTAAAGGCGTGTGCCACTAACGCCCGGCTAATTAATTAGCTTTTATAAAACAGGGTTTCTGCCGGGCGTTGGTGGCGCACGCCTTTAATCCCAGCACTCGGGAGGCAGAGGCAGGCAGATCTCTGTGAGTTCGAGGCCAGGCTGGACCGACAGCCTCCAAAACAGAGAAACCCTGTCTCGTAAAACCAAAAAAAAAAAAAAAAAAAAAAAAAAACAGGGTTTCTATGCCAGACTGACTTTGAACTTGCTTTGCAGCCTAGATTACCTGAGCCTCAGGTCCTCTGCCTCTGCCTGCCCAGTGCTGGGATTTCAGATGGTATGAGACTGGAGCCCAGGGCTTCTTGTATGCCAGGCAAGCACTGTACCAACTAAACTACATCCCCTCGTTTCTGAATAGGTAGCACATTCATTCTACTGAAAAATTTGGAAGTTAGAGAAGAGTTAATGAAAAGCCTCTCTCCTACCGCTGCCCTAACCCAACTGTCCAGTCTCCCTTCTTAGCAGCAATCCATGCTCTCAACCTCTCGCGAATATTTCTGAAGTTACAGAGTTATCTGGTTCCTCTTTCATGCTCTATAGCCTGGTTTCCATTTCATTCTCATGTAACTTTGCACAGTCCCTGTGAGCTCATTTCACGCCGTGCCATAAGGAGCTTCCTTATTCATTTTGTTTAAAGTGATTCATTTTTCCATTGTGGATGTATCATGATTTAATCAGTGACTGTTATTATGCTGTTTCCAAACTACTGTGAGAAGAAACAATGCTGACAAGACTTGCTTCATAAAAGTGGTATTTCCCAGGTGTGTGAGGGGCAGTGGATTCTGAGACGTGGGATGGCTGCAGGTGCAGCTTTGTGTTTGACTACATCCTACTGATCTTGGAGTCTGTGGGTATCTCATCTATCGCTGCACCCCTCATCGCTGTCACACAGCCTAGAGCAGAAAGTACACTTACACACACAGAAAAAGGGCCTCATAGCTCACGCTAGCCTTGATACTTGATCTATAGTTGAGGGTGGTCACCTGGAACTTCTGCTTTTCCTAAGGCCTCCATGTTTTGAGTGCTGGGATGGTATCACATCTTGTTTATGTGTTACTGGAAATTTAAGCAAGGGCTGGCATCCTTAGCCCCATTCAGCATATATATTTTTAAAGATTTATTTATTTATTTATGTATATGAGTACTCTATTTACATGTACACCTGCGTGACAGAAGGGGGCACCAGATCTTTTTACAGATGGTTGTGAGCCACCATGTGATTGATGGGAATTGAGCTCAGGACCTCTGGAAGAATAGCCTGCTCTTAACCACTGAGTCATCTCTTCAGCCTCCATTCAGTATATTTTTAATAAATAAAGACAAGTAGTTTTGTTTTTCTTAGTCAGTGTCTCACCATGTAGAACTCTCTAGTAGACCAGGCTGGCCTCAGCTCACAGGGAACAGCTGGCCTTTGCCTCCTGAATGCTGGGATCAAAGGTGTGGGTTCGGCAGAAGCAACTAGTTCTTTCCCTCCAGTGTTCAGTACAAAGCAAACGACTCATTCAAACCAAGTTCCATCGTTATGTTGGAGCAAAACTCATCGAAATTTATTGCTCCAGTGTTTGAAAACTAATCAAAAAAGCCTGGGCGGTGGTGGCGCACGCCTTTGATCCCAGCACTCGTGAGGCAGAGGCAGGTGGATCTCTGTGAGTTCCAGGCCAGCCTGGTCTACAAAGCTACACAGAGAAACCCTGTCTCAAAAAACCAGAAAAAAAAGAAAATTAATCAAGAATCTTCTTTACTCGCTTTGTTGTAAAATAAGGTCACCTTTATTCCTTTTGTTTATAGTTCAAAACATTTTTTTACCTTCATATGTATGCTCTAACTGTAATGACTTTGTGTCTCCAGTATTTGTCAAAACCTCTTAATCCCTCTATTACTTCCTCTACCATCCATAATCCCAAGAACTCTGCATAGCCCATAAACTCTTTTGGGAGGGTGTTTGTTGCTTTTATAAATCACCTGCTTCTTTTGAGTTCGTGACTTTTCAGTTGTGTGACTTCTCCAAGCATCTTTATGTCTACAAAATAGGGGACATGATAGTGCTATAAGTAGTTAATGAGCTGTAGATGTCAGGGCTTGACACATAGTACTGTTGAGAAGGAAAGTTCTTGGTGCTTCTACTCATCTTCTGCTGTATGCCAAGAATACAGACTCCTGGCTGGTTGTTCTGGCAGGGTTATTTCTCAGAGTTGTGGAGTTGTGTTAGCATGTGGCTTTGAAAGATGAAGTAATGTATCCCTTTAGGATAAGAACAAGTTTTCTCTCTTCCTTCCTTGCTTCCTTCTTTCTTTGCTTCCTTTCTTTCCTTCTTTTTTTTTCAAGATAGGGTTTCCATTTGTAGCCCAGTTGGTCCTGAACTAGCTCTGTAGAGCAGGCTGGCCTCAAGCTCAGAAATCCTTCCTCCTCAAGCTCTCCTGTGCTGGGATTGTGTCTGGCCACTAGTTGATGCCTGTGGTTCATCATACGCTTAAATTGCTCATTCATCTGTATATTCATGTTTGGTGAGGACCCAGCAACCAAGTGATAACACTAGATCCTGAATTCAGTTCCCTATTTCATCTGTTAGGAAACGGATCCTTTGTGGCCAAAGTCAGCAATTATGCAACATGATCTAAAACTTAGTTACTTTTGCACAACTTCACATAAACTATATAAGGAACAACAGCTTCCTTGATTTAGAACTGGATATTAGAGTGGTCAATAATTTCAATTTAGCAATAGTTTTGAAGTTGCCTTTATTTCATTTCTCCCAAGAGAAGTCTTTGAAAACACAGCAGTTGATGTTTTGGCTACCTACCAAAACACAAACTTGATGATATTCAGAGTGCCTAGTCACAGCGAGCAAGAAGAGTTAGCACAGAAATAATGAGAATAGCAATCTGAGCAATTGCCACTCCAGTCCCGTGTTTGATTTTAGCCTACCGATTAAGGTCACATGTTAATCTGATACTGTTTAGTAGATGTTGTAGAACACCCAATATTCTACAAATCAAAGACAAAGGGAACTTGATTAGCTTCAGCGTTCTAGTTTTTACCCACCAAGCACCATTAAGAAAGAAGGCACTCCAAGGCCTATGTGGCAGCAGGAAGGTCCAACCTCTCTGATGGACTGACCCCTCAACAGCTGTACAAAAGGCATATTTATTGATTGCTATACAAAGTATAACATACCAAGGTCCCTAATGTAGTTTATATGTCCTTACTAAAGAAGAGCATCATACGCCCCCATGACTTTAGTCTTTTATTATGTATCATTTGCAATACATAATAATACTAGTGCTGGTCACTCTAGTATTGTGACCAAAGTCATGGCATGGCTGTAATGCCCTTCAGTAAAACAGTTCTACAAGTCATGGAAAGCAATCACTGTTTTCCACAAGGATTTTTTTTCCCCCGAGGCAGGGTTTCTATGTGTAGCTCTGTAGATCAGGCTGGCCTCGAACTCAGAGATCCTCCTGCCTCTGCCTCTTGAGTGCTAGGATTAAAGGCGTGCGTCACCAATGATTCGTAACTATTTACCACAATGATTCTTCAAGGTCAAATCACTTCTAGAAAACAGCTGTTCATTCTAATGTCTACCCCAGATGCAGTGACTCTGCTAAATTTCTACAACAGAGCTCAGATGAATGCTGTTCCCTTACGGGATCAGAGCCTAAGACACTCCATTTGGACATGCTGTCTGCCATTCTATAGAAAGAAATAAAGCCATGCGGTTTTAATCCCAGCACTTGGGAGTCAGAGGCAGGAGGAGTCGGTTCCAGGACAGCCAGGGCTACATATGGAAACCCTGTCTCGAAAAACAAAAACAAAACAAAACAAGATCTGCCCACCACCCAATCAATGAAACCCCTACCACAGCCCAAAGCCCAATAAACCACAACTCCCAGAAGGCTTTGTTCCCGGATGCGTCATGTACCCGCCCCCACAGCGCACCGAACTACATTTCCCAGGAAGCCTCACAGACCCAACCGTCAGCTTCCCCCGCCCCTGCTCTCCTTTCCCCCGCAGCGCGGTGGCCGTCTAGCTCCTGCGGTCGGCGGAGCGGGCGCGCGCCAGGGTCGCGCGGCTGCCGAAGGGGGCGGGCGCGCGCAGGAGGAGTAGAGGCGTAGGGGGGCGGGGGACGGCTCGCTGGCTCGCAAGATGGCGGACGAGGACGGGGAAGGGATTCACCCCTCAGCCCCTCACCGGAATGGAGGCGGCGGCGGGGGGTCTGGGCTCCACTGCGCCGGGAACGGCGGCGGGGGAGGCGGCGGCCCGCGGGTCGTGCGCATCGTCAAGTCCGAGTCCGGCTACGGCTTCAACGTGCGGGGCCAAGTGAGCGAGGGCGGGCAACTGCGGAGCATCAACGGGGAGCTGTACGCGCCGCTGCAGCATGTGAGCGCCGTGCTGCCCGGGGGGGCGGCCGACCGGGCCGGGGTGCGCAAGGGGGACCGCATCCTGGAGGTGTGAGTATCGCGGCCGCCACGCCCCGTCCCTCTCCACCCTTCGCCTGTCCTGGCCCTGTACCCTGTCACCCAGGCCGCACCTCCCCCAGCTCGCGAGCCCGCCGCGACCCTCGCCCCCGGCGGGCCTTCGCGGCTCGCTCGCGTCGGAGCCTTCTGCTTTCCTGGCGTCTCCAGTTCGTGTCCTTGCCCCACCGTCCCAGTGGCCTCCCCGCTGTCCTCACTCAGCCCCTTTGCCTTCTCCTATGGCATGCTGCTTTCTGCTCCTTACTGACGACCCAGCCAGTACTCTGCCCTCCCCTGGTTCTCAGCTTTGGCATCCGAGTTTCCCGGTCTCTGCCACTCCCCTCGGACCCTGTGGATTGTCCCTTCTACCCTTAGACCCAGTAGGACCTGTAGTCAGTTCCTTTTCTTCCGGAGGCATCATCTCTCCCCCCCACCTTAAGCCCCCCCCTTAGTCACCCACCCACCCCCGTTTTGGGAAAGCACACGACATTTTTGTACCCAGTGCTTGGCCTTTTCTCCCCTTTGTAGTCATACCACCTGGAGTATACCTTATCATAGCATGCGTTTTGGGGGGGGAGGGGTTGACACTGGTTTTTCTTCTGATCCTGACATTGCAACCTGGTTTTCAGTCTGTTTTCTCCATGGCCACATTCCACTGAGTGCGCCCTTTCCTGGCTCCCTGTCTTCCCACGTGCAGCACTCCTTACACTTTCGAGTGCGGCTTGTGGTAGTGCTTTCCTAGCTCCTACCCCCCCCCCCCGCCCCCCATCGCCTTAGGTCTTTACCTTCTCCATTTTGCTCCTGCTCTGTGCTGTTGCAATCCTACGCTTTATCTTAGTTGTTCCTCTCGATAGCTTTCGTTTCTCTCGTTTAAGGCCCTTTCTGCTCGTGCAACCCTCCTTCTGCTGCAGTGTCTTCCTTCATCAGACTCCTTCAGCCTCACTGGTCACCACCACATCCCTTAAAGCTCCCGGGATGTTGCCTTGGCGGTTTCAACGTGGACCTCCACTGCTCTAACCACTGCCCTAAGCTGTGTTGTGCTTGTGATTTTGTACTTTGTACTAAATGTGTGTAGTGGTTGTTGGTTGACTTATAGGTGCTCTATGCACTCATTTGTCTCCATTCTCCTTCAGTCCCTGTATTTCTCTGCTTACTGCATGTATATTGTGTACACCCCCACCCCGCCCCCCCATCCCCCGCCACACACACACACTCACAGACTCACACACACACACACTCACTCACACGCTCTCTCCATGATGGGTTTTTCCCACATAAGTCTTTCTTTGTAAACATTTCGTTTCTATTTTTTTACCCATTACTCTTACTCTGTGGAATCATTTATTCGGCTTCCTCATCTTTCCACTCCAAGAAAGAGTAGCTAGCTCACTAATGCATGTGTTTGGAGATGTTGCATATTTCCTCTGACCTTTCTGGAAATAGATGCTTTTTTTTATTACTATGTTACAGAGTATTTTCTAATATTGTCTGGCAGTGTATTCTTAGTCTTTGTGGGGAGCATTAAGATATTGAATACAATAATGACTTTTGATTCCTTGTACCTGAGTACCTAGGTGTTTATTTTGTAGATAATTCAAGTTATCTTTTGTTGGAAACTTTTAGAATTATTTTGCTTTTTCTTTGGAAATTAACTTTGATTCACCTTTTTATTTTTAGATTTAAAATATATAAAGTTATAAGTGTATTAAAGTTCTAGGTCATTTTCTTGGTAGGGTCCAAAACAATGACTACAGCTAGTGTCATCTACCATGAGTGTATAAGCCAACAGACATAGTTGGTGGCTTTTAGCCTTTATTGTAGTCTGCAGCAGAGAGCCCGGCTGTAAACTAATCATTGTAGGGAAGATAGGAGTGATCCTGTGGATCCTGTGATGAGACTTGCCTTAGACTGCATTCCAGGTCAGGAGCCTAGAGTAGAAGCAACTGTTTTTGGTACTGTCCTTGGTGAGAGTAATTTTTGTCATTTTAGGTGGCAGGAGAAAGAAACGCTGCCTAGAAAAATTCTCCTTGAAAGGTTGATGATAGAAAATCTTCATGGTATTTGTGTTTTGGTTTCCAAATTCTTTGAAGTTTCTATGGTAGTGTTGTAGAAGTAATAGTAGTAACAATTCTAAGCTAGTTGATAACTTCTGAGACCTCAGTATCTCCCTCCCTCCCCCCTTCCCTCCCTCCCTCCTCCTCTCCCCCTCCCCCCCTCACCTTAGATTTTTCAAGAGGAGAAAAATCAGCTACCAATGTAACTTTTCTTTAGAGATTTATTTATTTGAGGCAGGGTCACATGTAGCCCAGGCTGGCCTCAAATTCGCATGTAGCTTAGGAAGACCTTGAACATGTGGTGGTCCTGCCTCCACCTCCTGAGTGCTGGGATTACAGGTATAAGCCATTTCATTGGGTTTATGTGGTGCTGGGGATGGAACCCAGGCATGTAGGGCTTCAAGCTTGGTAGGCAGGCACTCTACCAACTCAACTATATTCCCAGCCTGCACCTTTCAGCTTGTCTTCTTACTCAAGTTCTTAAGTCAACCTCTCAGTTGTCCTAGGATGAAGTCCCAGGTGGTGGGGATTGAGTTAGGCATAGGCGGATTATTACTGTGTAGCTTTATGATTGCACACAAGCACAGGCTGGTGCCTGGACCTTGATAATTGAGGTTTGGGATTTCTCCCTGTTTAAACTCTTTTCTCTGTGTACAACTTTTACTCCAGTTTCCATGTTGCAGTTCCCAGCTGGTAGAGGTGTGAAAGAACAGTGACTGAGATCTAAGTGGGTATAGACTTGAGCATCACTGAGAGAATCCGTTTCTTTGTGCTGCTAGAGTCTGCTTACAAGGCTCATTGAGTCCTGGGGCAGTCGTCAACTGGAGCCAGTATTGGCTCACTTTTTACTCTCTTCCTTTTCAGGCTGACTAAATTGTGACTGGTTTGAGAGTCATATTGCAGGGCTTGGTACTACTGTGTGAAGAAGCCCTCTGGGCTGCAGATTTTACTACAGATGGAAAGTTTTCTTGACTAACAATGCTATAGTTTTTCTCAGCTAGTGTACTGCTAGTCTTCCCTTTGATGTGTGTGCACCTCCAGGCCAATATATAAAAGATGCTTTCAATAAATAGAACTAAAATAAGTATATCTTTGTAGTAATTATACAGCATGTGACGTAACGGACTTCAGGTTAATTTCTGTAAGGTTAAGATAGGTCTGAGGACACATGATTGATTTCTTGAGAGTTGCCTTTAGGAGAGTTTTGGTGTGCAGTGGATATGTATATGGAACTGCCTACATTTTTTTGAGATTATGTTTGTTGGCTTTTTTTGGCCCAGCACTTGGAGTTGTGTGTGTGTGTGTATGTACACGAATGCACAGGACTCACTTTGAGGAGTTGGGGCAAATCCTCCTGTCTCCACCTCCTATCTCCCCAGGGGGTGGCTGGGCTTAAAGACACTTGTCCGGTGCACCCAATTTTGAGGTGGGCTCCAGGAATTGGGACTCAGGTGGTCAGGCCTGCACAGCACACACTTTTACCTGCCAATCCTGCTCTGGGGAGTGTGAACTTCAGGCATGGACTCTGAGGTCGGCTTGTAAGCATTCAAAATTGTGGTGTATATATGCTAGTCATAGAGTATATGCTTTCTTCCTTAATAGCTACCAGATAATATACCCATCAGCTTTTCCTTGTTAGGGTTAGAACATAAGGTAAATTATGTTACATATGACAGTTTGTTTACTGAGGGTTATTTTTTGTTTGATTTCATGTGAATGTTTGAAAATCATTGGACAAAGAGTTTGATGCGGTAAGTCATGAGTGAGTCATGAGACATCGACTGTTAAGTATCTTAAGAGGCTTTAAAAAATTGACTGATTTCTTTTTGGCTCAGATTTTCCAGGTAGACTGGGATAATATTGCTTGAAATGATTGTTGAGCAAAGGGAATGATTATGGCAACGGTCTCACACTGGTATGCATAAGAATCAGTTGGGGTGCTGTCAGAAACACAGGTTTGCAGGTGTACTCTCTGATGGCTGGGATTCAGTGTGTCTTGCCTCCTTTGCCTGGTATAGGGAATGTAACTCCCGTGCTAAGCTACATTCTCAGAACAACACGGTAGTTATGGACTGATCTAGACCATTCTCAGCTCATGTGCTTCCTCACTATGGTTACAATGGGAGTCACTAGCTAGGACTTGACTAACAAATGGTGATCTATTTTTAAGGGCCTGAACTCTAGACTAAGGGAAGTCAGCTCCTCTCCAAGTAGTCTGTCCAGTTGTAGCTACTTCCATGGGTCTTGCTGTCGTCCTGCACAGTTAAGAGACAACAAATGATACCAATCATTGTGTCATCATCCTGAAGTATCTGTGTGTATTACAGTTTGCAGCATTCGTACTTCAGGACAACCTCTCGTAGGGAGGCCGAAAGCTCCTCAGACCAGGGACTGTGTTAACTGTTATTGTGTAGTGTACCTTGGTTCTCTTCAGTGAGTGTTTGCTGGGTGGATAGGAGTAAAATTATCCCTGTTTTGTGAGGAGAAAGGAGTGCTGCATTGAGGGACAACCAGAATTAAATCCAGGTCTTAAGATTCTTTCCCACTTTTAAACTTTGTTTTGGTTATTGACTGTTAATAGTCAACTTCTTTAATTTGTATTCTTTGGAAGTTTCATAGATCTATACAAAATCTTGATTATGTCTACTCCAGTTCCTTCCAACTCTACTTAGGATCACCATGACCTCTCCTTCCCAACTTCATGTCCTTCTATAATTAATTAGATAATTTAGACATTTTTATTTTTTATTTCATGTGCATTGGTGTTTCGCCAGCATGTGTGTCTGTGTGAGGGTGTTGGATCCCCTAGAATTGGGGTTGCAGTTGTGAGCTGCCATGTGGGTGCTGGGAATTGAACCTGGGTTCTTTGGAAGAACAGCCAGTGTTAACCCACACAGTTCAGTTAGTGCTGTCCATATGGGCATGGATGTAGGTCATCCACTG